CACAGCTTTATCAAATCTTTCATTACATGTTTCATTATTAAGCAACCAAAAAATGGCTTGGTACTTAAGTGGCTCTGTGGCCACATTCTTAGTTCAGTTTTCTTTTTATTATCTCTTTGCAAGGGTGGATCCTCTCTGTCTTTGCCTTTGAAGGTGGAGGCAATCTTGTGCCTTTGCTTTGGTGACATACAACACAAAAACTTTAAAAGGTTTCTACTTTTTCTCTAAACATCCCACCTACCAAAAAACCTTTTCTATAAACAATGATTTTAATTTCACTTGTTGCCTCATACATTGTCTCTGAATAGTTTTTTTTTTCTCTTCTCTAGTTTTAAAGACTATGCTCAAAATGTTATGCCAGGAGAAAATGTTTCCCTCCAGGTGCTTGATAACATTCAAGGAATATTAATTTTGGATTGCTACTTTGTTCTGATGAAGATATTTTTTGTTGTAAGAATCACTCTTGAATTCTAACCATAAACACTCTGCAATATTAATACTACTTTCCACTGCATTCTTTTTCAAGGCCTATCAATTGCAGTATCTTTATTGTTAATTTCACTCAAAATTGTTTTGCTATAGCAAGATATGACAACACAACTATGAAATTCAAACACAATGTTGGTCAGGGATCAGTCATCTTCACTGGTGGGATAAACTTTTTGTACACCAAATGAAGTCAGTGATAAAGGTTAAACAATAATGCAGTAGAACTTTGTTGAAATAGTTTATTTGCTTGTGTATAAAGAGGATAAAGACTTGTTGCCACTGTTTATTAAAAAATGCTGTCTATTTGGAATTCACTCTTTGAAAACTCTGTTGATGGAGAATATTTTTCTTTTCTTCAGTGCTCCTGTCTTTGTCACAGATGGTAAATACTTAACTTTTTTTTTTATCTATAGATCTGGTAGATAAAACATTTCAAGTTAAATATTCCCTATTGTGTGATTTATCTGAATTAAGCCAAGTTTTCATTTACTTATCACTCATTACAATTTCAAATTTTGCCACAAGTGTGGCTACACACAAAAAAAAAATAAAAAATAAACATTTGGTTGAGTGTGGTTGTAAAATTCCTTGTGATCTCAGTCTTTTCATCTTGGTAAAGGAAAAATTTCTTTTAGAAAAGAGAAAAGTCATTTGTGTGAAAATTCATAAACTCTTAAATTTTGAGGTCCTTAAGGATGGTAGGTAATTAAAATTGGTTCAATATTGTACTTTCATCAATGTTTTCACCAGTTTTTTTAAAGATTAAAGCAGGCAGGGTGCTAAGTCTGCTATAATGATTATTTTCAAAAACATATTTTTCTTCTAATTTTTTTTTTTTTCTTAAACATTCAAAATAGACATTTTCAAAACTACTCATTTATTTTGAATGGAAAAAGTGTTGCTTTATACATTAGCATTTAACTTGCATGTGTATAAGATTTTCTATTTCAAGATTTATTTTCACTTTTATATAAGACAAGTTATAAGTAAAATATATATATAGGTTAACCAATAGGGGTATAAATGCTCATTACACCAGAGGCCATTACCAGCTGCCTAACATGTGTAAAACTTTAGTTTCATCCAACTATTGTGAAAAAAAAAAAATAATGCTATTGAAAACAAAGTGGGCATCTTGACAATAACTGGAACAGAGTTTATCAATAAAATTTCAGGGGGGGGGGAATTTAATTTGTTTCTCAACCTTTTTTTTTTTTTTTTCCTTGTGGCCCATTTTTGCTGTCATATGCCCACATAAGCACAAATAGAAATTCCATGTAACAAGAAATACACAAGCAAAATGTAGTAGAAATCCTAACTAATGACTACACTGCTCCTGGGGTCTATCAGCTTGTAGAATTAAACTTCAAAGTTAAAAAAAAAATTTCAAATCTCACTTATTTTTCTTGAACCAACTCCAGGCCCATTTTAAAATTTCTGAGGATCACTGGTTTAGAGAGTTATTCAAACTGTCATTTGTAGTTTAGCTCTGATATAAAAAGGGAAAATTATTTCATGATAGAATTGTTTGCTATATTTTATTATCAAAGAATTGATAGTGTTGTGTCATCTGAAACTCTCAACTTCTTTTAAGTAGCTTTACTTGCACATAATTAGAAATATCCTGTCGTAGGAGTTGTTTTTGAATTCATTTCAGTACTTATTTATTAAGCAATTTTTTTTTTTTTTTTTTTTTTTTTTTAAGATCTCCATTCAGGCCTCTTAACATCAAAATATATTTGATCTAGCAACAATTCTGAATGCTTCTCTTGTATTTTTCTCAGGTATTTTATATAACACCAAATCTTTTGGTTACTTTTCATCTTGGTACACTTTTTGCTGTTACTGAAAGCTTTTTTTTTCTCAAGTGATTCTTATCATTTGGCATTGATATTAAGCTTTTGTTTTATTTTTGTTTTTATACAGGTGCCCCAATCTACATTTGTATTACAAAAGGAGTTTAAAATCTTTCTAGCATTACATTTTTAAGACTCCCTCAGATCTTATGGTG